TTAACAGGGTTGGGAGAGTTTTTGAAGCCTTGTGGCAGTCTAGTCCAAGTCAACTGTCCGGGGGTTCCTGTGTTGTCATCATGCCACTTAAAGGCAAAAATGTTTTGGCTGCTGGGTGCCAGGGCTATGCTTAAAAAAAGCATCCTTTAGGTCTAGGGTGGTGTACCAAACATGTGAAGGGGGCAAGTGACTTAGTAAGCTGTAAGGGTTGGGGACCATGGGGTGGATGTCCTCGATCTTCTTATTTACTTCCCTCAAGTCCTGGACTGGCCTGCAATCTTTTCTCCCCAGTTTCTTAATGGGAAGAAGCGGGGTGTTCCAGGCGGAGTGGCAGGGCTTCAGTATCCCAGCTTCTAAGAGGTGGTTAATGTGTGGGGCAATCCCTTTTCACACCTCAGTGGACATGGGGTACTGTTGGACCCAGATAGGCTGGGCCAAGGCTTTGACTTCGACCACTACTGGGGCTCAGTGGGCTGCCAGACCCACACCCATTATTTCTGCCCATGCCTTAGGGTACGTTCTAAGCCAGTAATCTAACTCATGGGGCCACTCTGTAGGGGGAGAGGTGCCGTGCAGGGCAAACAGGTGATGCTCATCCATAAGGGACAGGGTCAGGACATGAAGGGGCTGTCCTTGGCCATCTATCACTATGATGCCATCTGGCTCAAAGTGGATACGGGCCTGGAACTTAGGAGATCATGCCCCAATAAGGGGGCTGGGCATTCAGGGATAACCAGGAAGGAGTGGGTCACTTGATTGCAGCCCAAGTCCACCTGGCGCTTACTGGTCCATCGATAAGCTTTGGACCTAGTTGCCCCCTGCACCAGGCTGGTTTTCTGAGACAGGGGCTCTGTAGGCTTGTTTAAAACTGAGTACTGGGCTCCTGTGTCTACCATGAATCCCACTGGTTTCCCCACTACATACACAGTTACTCAAGACTCGGGGAGGGGACCCGAGTCCTGTCTCCCCTAGTCACTGTCCATTCCTGCCAGCAAAACCTGAATGTCTTGTCTGTTCTGGCCTTGGCACCTGGGGCATTCTCTCTTCTAATGTCCATATTCTTTGCAGATCATGCTTTGTCCCCTATCTAGCCTGGGCCACGGTTTCCAAGGTTGGGCCAGTCCGGTTGGACTCAGTCCTCCCCGGGCTGTGCCTTGCACCCCTGCCAGCAGGATTCTGGCCATCTCTTTCTGCTGCCTTCTGTTTTCCCTGCTCAGGTGCTCTCTTCTTTCCTAATTCTTTCCTGCAACTCCCGATTTTCTTTTTTGATCCTACCCTCTCTTTCTTCCGGGGCCTCTCAAGTGTTGAAAACCCTCTCTGCCACTTTCATCAGATCTCAAATGGTCATTTCCCCCAATCCTTCTTGCTTATATAATTTTTTCCTAATATCTGGGGCAGCTTGGTTTATAAAGGACATAATCACAGCTGACTGATTCTCCTCTGCCAGGGGGTCTAGAGGGGTGTACTGTCTATAAGCATCATAGAGTCATTCTAAAAACACAGCCGGGCTTTCAATTTCCCCTTGCATTACAGCTTTTACTTTAGCCAAATTGATGGGGCGGTGTGCCGCTGCTCGAAGACCTGCCATAAGAGTCTGGTGGTAGACTCAGAGACACTCCCTACCTTCTGCGTTCCCAAAGTCTCAATCCAGTCTATTCAGGGGGAAGCGCTCGTGGATCAGGTTCGGCAAGGTTGTCAGCTGGTTGTTGCTGGGGACATTCTTTCTGGCCTCGGTGGTCTTCGGTAGTGAACAAGGTCTTAAGGAGCTGCTGACAATCGTCCCAGGTGGGGTTATGTGTATGCATGACAGACTCAAATAGGTCAGTTAGACCCCTCAGGTCTTCAGAAAAGGGGGGTTTCTGAGCCTTCCAGTTATACAGATCACTACTTGAAAAGGGCCAATACTGGTAAGATCGCTCCCCATTTGGGCCAGTACCTCCCAGGGCCCGTATGGGGAGAATGGGCACCCCGGCTGAGGTGGAGGAGGACGGTTCCTCTTCTAGGGTCTCTTCCCGGTACCTGCAGGGCCTTAATCCCCTCGCTGGTCTCTGGGTTGGGGCTGGGGGGCTGACGGGGAGGTGGATGAGTGAGGGGGTTCGGGAGGGGCGGTCGCCTCAGTTTGGAGTGGCGCCACAGGCACATATGGAGGGGGTCTCTGGGTTTCTTCAAGATCTAGGTCTATCAGGGAAGGGTACAGGTCCGACCCTTCCTGTAAGACGGGTTTCTTGGATGGTCCCCTGGGAGTTCTGAGCGGGCCATAAGAGTGGATGCAGTAGGGTGGGGGGGGTGCCCAAGAGATAGCCAGTATCCGGGGGTGAATCCGCCGGCTTCTTGGTGACAAATGGTTTTAGCCAGGAGGGAGGACTTTCCACCAAAGCCTGCCACATCGAAATATAGGGATATTGGTCCGGGTGACCCTGTAATTCGGGCTGGTTGATCATATCTCAGACTCTCTTAATAATGTCCAGGGAAAAGGTCCCCTGGGGTGGCCAGCCCACCTTAAAAGTAGGCCATTCTGCAGAGCAGAGGGTATGAAACTTACCTTTTTTTACTTTCATGCCATAATTGTGAGCCTTGGCACGGATCTCAGGGAAGTGGTTCAGGAGCAGGGTCTTAGGTGTTACTTGAGCCTGTCCCATTATTATTACAAAAAGAAGCCAGAAAAAGACAAGGGACGCAGAGCAAGCAAACATACAAATTCGAACTGAGTTTTTAAACACCCACCGGCTGGTCAGCCACACCACATCCACGGGCGCCGTCTCAATCACACAACGCTCAGGATCCTTACCTAGCTGTCCAAACAGCGTCCACTGCGGATGTCGCCCGGGCATCGTTTGGTCGGGGACATCTCCCATGACTTTCAGTAATGGAGCCTCCAGGGTCGTAACCTGCTCCTTCCTTTCCACAAGAATTCTCAATTGGGACCAGGCAGAGACCTGTTTCAGTCTCTCCGGTCGAGGACCTGTTTCAGTCCTCCCCTCTCAGAGGTAGCCAAACCTCCTTCCATGGCTTCTGAGCAAACCTCGGTATTGGGGGGGGTCATCTGTCTCCCTGAGGAGGGGTCTACCCATCCTGGATGAGCTCCCAAAATGTTAGGGTCCAGAGTCAACCGCCTCTCAAATAGAAGACACTCACGATAATGCAAGTCACACAGCGAGGTTTATTTCCAGCTAGCTGGGGTCCAAGTGTCTGCCCGATGCAGTGGGTTTCAACAAGGACTCAGAGCACTCAAAGCCAAGGGTTTATATAGCATTTTCAAAAAGCACTTACTCACAGTAATTTTCCATAATTTTTGGCTTGTGCCACATCCTGGGGGTTAAGCAAGAGCAAGATAAGACCACTCCTCAAATGTTACGGTGGTTCAGCAAGATAAGCTGACCAGCGTTGCAACCGCCCACAACCCGGTGTCCATGATTAACTTGTTCTTCAACACCTGTTTATCAAACCTTACCCAGTTCCTCCTTTCCTGAGTCACGCACTCAGAAAATGGCTTCTCGGCCCTTAAGATGGCCGTTCTCATGCTAACCCATTCTTACAATTGGATGCTCCCAGAGGGGGCCAAGAGAGTCCAGGAGAATTTTATAAAGCATCTATCACATGCAGGGCACAGTGATAGACCTTGGGACCCACAGGGGGGACCCACAGGGGAGGCAGATCTGAGCATCTACATCTTCTCAGAGTCCAAGCCTAGATGGGGAGACAGACACATCTAGGAATAAATACCAGGTAATCAGAGAGAGAAGGAGAGAGAGAGAAGACAGAGGCTCTAGTTTCTGAGCAGGACATCAGTGATGCGAGGAGTGAGGACAGACTAGTGGGAGGAAAAGGCCTGAGCACAGCCCAGGGGACAGTGCAGGAAAGGTCCAGCGTGATCCAACCGCAGGAAGGAAGGCACGAAAGGGAAGCAGCAGGCCTATCAGGAACGGGCCCTGCTGTGGGGGACTGGAACCCTCACAGTCATGTCGGAGGGGACGTGGCACTGCTTGTGGTACTTCTACCCACGTGGCTGAGGCTGTTGGTGTCCTTGTTGTATGCCCTCAGACCACCTGTAGTCACCGCCAGCAGCTTCCTATGACTCGCCTGAGGTTGACGTCTGGTTCCAGGTGAGTGCCTGAATGCCCGGAGAAGGACCCTCACCCACTGAGGTGCAGGAGCTGGTGACTGATCCCCCAGCTGACCCCACTTGATGGGATGATCCAGGGGCACATTCTCCCCAGCTCTCAGAGCGTCCCCAGCAAGACGAGTCCCAAAGGTCACCTGCCCACTAACGCATTGGCTTTCTCCACTGTCCCACCCATCACAGGCATCCTGGGGTCACTTCCCAATCCCTCACACCCATATCCTTGGGGAATCTGAGTGAGGACAGCCAGAATGTCCTGTTTCTCTGGAATCGACTCTTTGGGAAGGAGAACAAGCATCATAGACAGGTGGAAGAAGCAGATGCCTGGTGAGGGTGGAGTTTCAGATGCCGCAGGGAAGGGGGGTGACTGCAGCTATATAGGTTGAGACACCCTTGAAGTAAGGGTCTGTGTGAAATCCTTTCATTTACTCAGTTATTTGGACTGCCCTTTGTTTCAGAGAGGATTTAAAGCCACTTGTAACCACATGCATGTAACACTCATGGCAGTTAGGGTCATCCTGTGCCTTATGAAGTGACCTTGTCCCATTGTAGGGGCTTAGTCCTTAAAGTCACCACTTCAGCCTCTAGCTGTGTACTTTGGACTCAGTGTCCCCACTGATGGTTTATCTGGAACCCCCCACCCAGACCAAAACCATGCTCTCTGGTCTCTGTTGGGTGCATGAGAATAAGTTCATGTACTGGGTTTTTAATCTTTTTCTTAGTGATTTGTAGGAATTCTTTATATATGATAGATCCCAACCCTTTTCCAGCCATATGTCCTGCTAATCTTTTCCCAAACTAGGATTTGTTTTTCATTTTGTTTTCAATATTTATTAAAATTATTTAAGTATTTTATTTTTATTTATTAAATAAATATATATTTTTTAAATTTTAGACTTTAATTTAGTCATACCTGTCAATATTTTCCACATTTGTGCTCATTGCATCTTACTTCAGAAAAACTTTTGATGGCCGATTCTGTTGGTAGTCTCCATTATCCATTCTATTTTTCTTCCTTAGTAACAGCATTCCAGTTTTTAGCTGGACATATTGCCAACTGCTAAAAGACTACAATTCCCAGTCTCCTTTCCAGTTCAGGGTGGCTGTTAGACTGACATCCAGCCAATGAAACGGGGATGAAAGTGTTTTGTGGGACTTCTAGGACATTTCCCTTCTTCACTGTTCTTATTCTACCATCTAGAAGGTAAATGTGATGGTTGGAGCTCCAGCAGTTATCTTGGACTCTGAGGTGACCTCCCTCCATGTGGAAGTAACATGCTGAGTACAGAAGGGCAGAAAGTTAGAAGCCTAATTCTTGATATCACTGTGCATCAGTCATAGCAGTTTCTCTGGTTTGGTTTTGTTGCCTGCATCTGGAGTGGTGATACCTGAGATAGAAATGATCATAAATAAGAGAGCTTATGTAAGCCACGTATTGCTTAGGGTTTTTCTAGTCTATTACACTTTCCTATCCTACATTTTCTTTTCAAAGTTTCACATCTTTACTTTTCAATTGTAATTCTTTAATTCATCTGGAGTTGGTTTTTGCTTATGTGGGAGGTGGGAATCCGATTTTATTCTTTTTCCGTATGGACAGCTAATTGTCCTAGCATCATCTATTAAGTAGTCCAAAACAGAATATAAGGTATTTTGGAATAGATTTAGTAAAAGTTGCTTAAGACCTTCACAGATAACATTGTAAAACTAACTTAGGGATGTAAATTTTAAAAACACTTAGATAAATGGACATCTACCATGCTTACAGGTGGGAAGGAAATTCTCCCCTGAATTCATCTATTAATTCAGTGCCATCTCACCAAATCTTGAAGTGGGTTTTATATACCAAGACAAAACAAAACAAAAGTGAGCTAGGAAATTAGGGAAAATAAGACAAAGCCAGAGGTGAGGGCTCAGTAGTGTCAGGGGTGTGCCACACATTTCCCTTTGAAATCTTTGGCAACTGGTACATAGAAGGAAACATGATCCATTTTTATCTAAAAGATAAAAGCACAGCATTATCAGATAATTGCAGTGTTTTTTGGAAATGGAGGGATTGGGGGTGATGGCTAAGGGGCATAGGGCTCCTTTTTGGGGGTGAGAAAAATGTTTTTTTGAATTGAAGTATCATTGATATACAATCTTATGTTGGTTTCAAATGTACAACACAGTGATTTAACAGTTTACCCATATTATTAAATCCTGGGATTAAGGAAATATTCTTAAATTGACTGTGGAGATGGTCTCATAATTTGTTGACTAGCTGTTAAAAAATGAAAAAGGAACCAAGAGGGACACACAACAGGGCATCTGCTTTGCAGGTGTGAGCCGGTGGCTTCCTGGCACACCGTCTAGGATCACATGGCAGAAGTCAGGCCTCAAGAGCTCTGTGGGGGATGTGCTCCAATGGCTGGCACCCACCAGTCTGGAGAAGCCAGGAGCATTTCCCAGCGCTGACCCATGGTTGAGCGGAGGGGGGCTTCATGAGTCTCCTTCTGGTGACAGTAGGCAGGCTGGACCCTGACCAGGACAAAGCCACATCCTCAGCCCGCAGGAGGATGCCTCCTTTTTCGTTCTTAAAAAAAGAATTGATTGAGATATTACATGCAAAAAAAGCACAGAAATCCTAAGTGAAAGCACAGAAGGTTGCTTTCTTTTTGCATGGTGGATTTCATGAACAGAACGCTTGCATGTGACCGGCACCCGGGTAAGGCAATAGAAGACGCCGGGTCCCCATAAGTCCCCACATACCTCCTGGTAGTCACCACCCTGGGGGAAAACTACCCTGGCTCCCAACAGCGGGTTTCACTGCCACCTGTCTGGGTCCGTACACACATGCGGTTCTGCAGTCTGTACTTCTTTGTCGGGTGTCTTGCACGGTAACAGATCGACCGCACTCCTCTCTCCCTCTCTATTAAACTGTCTGCTACTTTTCTGTTCTTTACAGCTGGCGGGCAGGACTGGGAAGGAGATAAAACAAGCCTGAAGCTTGCAGATTCATCCCTCGGGCTCCTGGGGGCCGGTGCTGGTCTCCGTGGCAAAGTGCCGGGGCGGGCCTCTGGCTGCCGGCCTGAGTCAGGAGCCCATGTGTAAAGCAATGGTAGGGGATGACCCCAAAGATGGTCCCTATTTGGGATAAACTCTTAAGAGTCAGCTGCTCCTTGACCCACAACCCATTACAGGAGGATCCTGCATGGCACTATGTGAACAGCACCCCCTGGAGTTCTGTAACATGGTGGCCCAGTTGTCACACAATCTTCAGGAGAACAGGACTGGACTGTTCTCCACGTCAGGGCTGCCTGGTGCAAAGCTGCCCCATGGCCCTGGTGTAGACCCTCTCCTGTCCTCCCTCGCGTCAGAAATGAGGATTCCGGCATCAGGTCAGCCCAGACGCCCCACTGGAGGAAGCCCTGGCCCAGCCCCCCTCCAGGGCGTGGCACGCTCCTGGCATAGTCTGCCCTGACACCAAGGGCTGTGGGTGTCAAAGACCACAGATCCCAACATACACAGGCCCTCAGAGAAAGGCTGGGCAGCATGAGAGTCTAGGCGACCATGTGCTTCAGCAAATCAAAGGTGACGTTTGCACAGAGGGGCTCATAGTCTCTCAAATCCCTTAGAATGAGGATTGGGAAAAGCTGCTGTAAAAGAGCAGGGAGATACACTGGGCAGCCTGAGGGCTCCTGCGGGCACAGCAGGGGATGCATCTCGCCTAAACGGAGAGCGCTGTGGTCTCCCGGAGTCAAGTGGAGGTAGGAGCCAGGAGACCAGGAAGCAGTTGGCAAGACTCGGCCAGGTGGCCTGGGTTTGCCCTCCCTCCTGCCACTCACGAGCCGTTGGACCTCCAGCCCATGCTTATCCTCATTGTGGGGGGGCTCACTGGCTCAGCTGTAACACAGGATTGACCACAGCCACAGAACCCCGGTTACATGGCTTTTGTGAGATGTGAACACCCGGAAGGTTAAGAAAAGAAGTATCAGTGAGAAAAATAAGGAATTTAAACTGAGAAAATCAAAAGCCAGCAAAAACTTACAATCACTATTTTTTTTTATAATGAAGACATTTTAAGATGAAAGAAATAAAAGACTGGGGCCAATGAGATGGAAACCTTAAATTTAATGTGAGGGCTAAAATGTAATAAAAGTTAAAAACAGCAAGTATAAAAGTAAAATGAAAAATCAGGAAGTTGGGCTTAAAAGTTACTCTTAACAACAAGAGACAAAAGTTAAGAGGTCTAAAACAATGGGAAAATAAAGTGACAAAATGTATGTGATTTAAGATTTAAGATCAAAGCCTAAAGTCTGAGATTAAAAGACTAAACACAAGAAAGTTAAAGAGGTGAGAGTTTAAGAAGATGCGGACAGCCCCCCATGAGATGAAGAGAGGTTTTCAAGAGGCCGGGACCGTGGATGAAGAATTGACCACCAAGAATGAAGACATCAATGTTTATCTTCTATATAAGATGTAAGCTTTAAAGACCAAAAGAAAACCTTTTTCAAAGGAAGCAATAGTAAAAAGTTTGAAGATTACAGATATAGATGGTCAAATAAACTCAGATCACAAATAGAAGAGGACAATCAAGTGACTTACAAAGGTCGGCAGAAGAAACATGTTTTGGACTGGACAGTGAGCCTGGGAATGTCTGGAGCTCAGGGAAGATAGCAAAGAGGGTGAGACTGAAGACTGAGGTGTGGGAGGGGATTAGAGGCATTGTACAGCTGTTTATTGAGCACCTACTGTATGCCAGGCACTGGGCCGATGCAGCTGGGACAGAGAGGCTGTCAGGGATGCCTGGGTGGGTGTCGGGGCAGCCCGGGAGACACCAGGTTCTTCTCTTTGCTGGTATATTTGAGGGAAAGAGCAGAAAGCTCGCCTGGAGGTTCCAGAGAAGATTCTAGAACTGAGGCTCCTGTCCCATGCTGTCTCCTGAGTTTATGCTGGACTCCAAACTTCTGTCTTAAGACGTTTTTCAGCCACTCTTTGGAGAGGGATGAGGGTGAGTGCCCAGAGTTGAGTCTGGTAAGGGGGAGGGCGGTGTGACAGAGTTTAGTACAGAGATTCCAGGCTCAGAGATAGCTTCGTGGATGTGGGCAGAGGCTGGGGTCAGAAGGGGCTCATCAAAACCGGAGGTCCCACAGGGTGGGGGGGCCCATGATGGGAGCGGGGAGACTGGATCAGATCCTGGGGATGGAGTGGATATCCACCCCCTACCATACTAGAGGGGGACTCACACAGAGGCTGGAGCCAAGCCTGGGAGGCCACAGGGCCAGCAAGCTCCAGGTCAGGAGCTGGGACATCTAGGCCTCTTTGTGAACGTGGCCCCGCCCCCTTGCTCTGGGCCTCAGTCTCCCCCTGCACGTCCACGGACGTAGACTGATGTGCGGTAGTGAGAGGGCCGAGGGTGACACCTAGCGGTGAGTGCGGGAGACAGGCAAGCCTGGGCGGGATGCGCCCCCATGAGGCCAGGGGTGCGTGTTTCATCACCCTCCTGCTTCACACCGAGTTCCCGCAGGCGAAGAGGGTCAAGGCCTCCCGACCAACCCGGACGGTTTGATTGATGTCTCCCCAGGCAGGCAGGGCAGAGAGGGGTGGGGCAAGAGAGGTCCCAGTGCCTGAGGACACCCCCTCCATGTGGGCCCACCCTATGCTGAGGGCGGAAGTGTCAGGTTTGATTGTCACAACAACCCTATGCTACGGATTTCATTGTCCCAGTCATACTGGAGACGGAAAACGGGCTCAGCGAGGTTTAGGGGTCTGGCAAAGGTCGTAAGCCAGGTGAGTGAGTGAGCTGAAGTTCAACCCAGCCGTCTCCCTAGTCTGCCTGCCCAGGTTCCTCCCAGGCCCCAGGGGGCAGTGCTGTGTGCCCTGGGTGGGGGAGTACTGAGGACACCTCACCCCACACTCCCCCACCCCACCCACGGTGGCTCCATCCCTCACCCTGGACACTGGGGCTCCAAGCTCCGCTTCATCATCCCAAAGTAGGCCCGGGGCCCCACCTGACCCCATCCCAGGAGGAGTGAGCCAGGGTGCCCCCCACCCCAAGCTCATGATTCCCATTTCCCTCTGTGACCTCCTCACCTAGGGTTTATGCTCCCCAGTTTACACAAGAAAACTGAGGACAGGGAGGGAAGGGCCTTGCCCAGGGCCCCAGGCAGGTTCGAGCCAGACAGAAGTGGGTCTCAGCCACTTCCTGGTGCTGCCTCCTGCCGACACATGTAGGGCCCTGTGCACTGCAAGGACCTCTTAGGGAATTCACATCAGGAAAATAAAGGCTCAGTTATGCATGGTTTGAAAGGACTGGAGGATTGTTTTAAACCAGCATTTCTCAGCCTTCCTGGGGCCCATCCTGGGTACTGTAGGTACTTAGCAGCATTCCTGGCCTCCCCACTAGATGCCAGTAGCATCCCCCATTTGCGCCCACCAAATATGTCAAGAAGTTGCTAAATGTGCCTAGGGGAAAACTCCCATGGAATATAAAACCGCTGGCTTGGGGAGAACACGTGGTGAGCCCCGCTTTCCAGGCAAGGGTGGGCTGTCTATCTCCTAACTGAAGCCTCCTAAGAGGGGCTCTAAGAAGACCCCTGCAGGGCTCATCATGCCTTCCTCCAAGCTGGGAGACACAGTGGACAGATGTCCAACAGTTGAAGTCCTGAATTGAGACCACGTGTGCAAAGGACCGTCGTTTGCACTTCCTGTCTACCTTTGGGCTCCTGTCAAAGCTTTCATGCCGGGCAGGGGCAGAGCGCCCAGCCTGAACGTGTTTCGTGACAAACTGGGACACAAAAATAAAGTTGCTGTTACAGTTACACCCTGCGAGTGAGTACTGGTGGATCTGGGTTTGGAGCCTTCTGCAAATTTAACGTAACGTGCCCAGGTGTGGATTTCTTGTTATTTACAATGCTCAGGATTCTTCCTACTTCACATTCATATCTTTTGTCAGTTCTAGAAATTTCTCAGCTGTTTTCTCTTTAAGTAATTCCTCTCTCCAATTCTATTTTCTTTTGGAACCCATTAGACATATATGAGACTTTCTTTTTATTCTCTTTGCCTTGCATTTATTCAGCAAATACTTACTGAGCGCCATGCCAGGCATGATTTGAGGCATTTGGCATATGTAAGCTACCTTATGGATCTTAACCAGTTTTTTTCCCATTTTCCATCTCTGGTGAATTTCTTCAGATCTATCTTCCAAGTTTCCAATTTCCCATCAACTTTGTTTAATCTTTTGTTTTAACTATCTATTGAATTTCAGTTGCAGTGATGAGATTATTTCATTTCTAGAAGCTCTAACAAGATTTATTTCTATCCAGTCTGGTCTTTTTTGGTAGTACCATGTTCCTTGCTCCTGTTTTTAATTCAACCTTATTTCTTTAAACCGTAGAGATAGGCATTTCATATTTGCATACAACAATTCCAGTATCTGAAGTTCCTTTTCTCCTGGCTTTTTTGGCTTTTGCACTATGGATTGTTAAATTGTGAGCTTGTGTTCAGTGGGAATCCTGCAAGGCCTGGGATGGAGAGCAGAACTGCACTTGTTTCTACCAGGTGCTCTGCACCAGGACCACTTGCTGGCGTAATGTTCCCTGAACCACTCCAATGGCATATATTCAAACTCCACTCTCTCCTCTCATGAGGGTTCAGTTGTCAGAAAATCTCCTGTGATTGTCATCACCCAGGGTCTGATCAGGCCATCACACTCAATCCTCTTGGTCACTCCCTTTGCCCGGGCAAAGATGTTCTAGTGCGTAATTCTAAGGAGGCTGGAGCTCTGTTCTTTTTCCTTTCGGCGGGCATCTTGGTACTGATTCCTCTTTGCAAAGCCTTGTTCCCCCTGTGGCCATGAAACCCCAGGCCTTTGGCTTCTGACATTGGCAGATTCCCAGGGCAGCTTCAGCTCCTTCATTGGCCTACCACTCTGGGTGCCAGATCATCTTTGTTTTCAGC